AGAGCTCAACATGCTAGCTTGACGATGCACTAACCGCGATACACTAACAGACTCCTTCGGTGCACTCGACGACCCACTCGGCACTCACTGCCCGGCTGTCAACTCGATCGACTCCGCACGGACTGACTCGCTAGACGAGATACACTCTCAATACTACTGACTGACTGACTGCGGACCAGCAGGGTTTATATAGCTTTCAGACTGTGTTTGAGAATATTCTGGGCTAAACCGGTAAGAATTCGTTCCAGAAGGTTTTCCATCCACCAAGGTATATTACCAATTTTGTCGTCAAATGGGCGATTTCTCGCCAAATGTGGCAACCCTGCCTTACTTTGCCATCTTATGGCAACATTAAAACTGCTTTGCGGGGAAGCCATCTTAACGTGCCTTGACATTTCTTAACAATATAAAAAGATGCAATGCTGTTTGGTACTCAATAACAAAGAAAAAAAAAGGCTGCATGAGTCATTTCTCAAGTTGATATGTGTTGACAGTCATGTATTGATGAATGCAACAAATAATAAATTATTCGCCAGTTTCGCATCAGGGATACAAGTTATTCAGATCTAAAAAACAGTGATGAACTTTGGTACAAAATTTCAATTTGAGATGTATGCCAGCTATGAAGCCAAGTTATTGATCATACAGATTTATGCTTATAAATGATAGAGTTTTTCAATACAGAGATGTTTTATTTAGTGCCAAAGTTAAGATTCCGGCTTTATTATGAAAAAATGTATGAAGCATTAACACATTAACTGCTGACATGCATAAGGGTTGCAAGAGCAGTACTACTGCATGACCTAAGTACATTTATAATTCATGAGATAAGTTTAAAAAAAAATCTGCAGGTTACTATGCATAGAACATAACATGGTATTTTATATCAATTTTTGCACAATGCTTTGTGCTTTTCAGAAAACTGCAGCACATAATCATATATTTTTAACACCATTTTATAAGAAAACAAAATGAATATTATTTCCAAAATTTTAGAACATTGTATATTTTTACAGGTAATAAAGAAACATACTTATGAAATTATATACATTTGTAATTTGGGATTAATATCATCAGAGTGATTTAGGAGGCTGAAGAAATTTATATTCCCGTATAAAACTATAGAAAACGTTACCCAACAGTGAGACAAGCGGCCATAAATATGAACATTGCCGTGTTGCACAGGTGGATCATGAGTTACCAAAACCAAACCTGGAATGTGATTATTTCTGCCTTTTCATAAAAAATTTCTAAAAACGTATTGCTAGTTATGCAGTTAGATCATTTCAGATACTGAACATTTTTATTTCAAACTTCATACTGAACTGATGATTTGTGATAACAATTCCTCCAGTATTTCACAATAAATAAATTCACATTTTTTTAGACAGAGTGCAGATGATCTGTTCCTGGTTTATTGGGAGCTGATTGTATGTTACTATATGCTTAGAAAAGTTTGATAGCTATTTGAAGAAAAGTTTGATAGCTATGATAAAGTTTGATTATATATAAAAATTAGTTCTTATATTTATAATAAGCTACTTTTCCCTCAGGAAAATACAAATTATATATAAGCCAAAGATAAAAATTCACTGAATTACAGTGTAGCAACTAAGAAATATTCAAATGAAATAAAATATTTTATGGTCTCACAAGATCACCCATGATACCAATCACCAGAAATAATTCTTACAAAATCAGAAACCTCTAAAAGATCATAAAGGTATTAATTATTTATTAAACGAGAGCAATGAACAAATCCATTAATTAATTAAGGCAGCATCAATGAATTATGCAATGAAAGATTCTCTCTTACATAAGGGAAAAATTTGGTAAAGCTTTCAGAACAATGTTGATCAGAGAAGAAAATTATAAAGTATGTATATGTACATAGGAATCCACTATGTACTGAGTTTTTGAATATATTAGAATTTTTCTCTTTTTGTTATGTTTTATACTTCATAATAATTTCTATAAATAATATTTCAAATGAACAGTTTTATTCTTATTTATTTGAAATAGATCAACTATTATTAAAAACAAAATTGTTACTACTATAATTAAATTCAAAAATGTCCAATAGGTTTATTACTTGAAAAAGCATAAAAAAGCCACAGCTTATAAAAGATATATATATATATATATTAAACTTAATAATAACTGGCTAGTGCTTGCACACCTCCTTCCTCTACAGGCACAACAGTTCAAGAAAACCCATGACATTCTTTAGAAGCCTCTTCCACTCTGCTCTCCATTTTGCCAAGGTTTTCCAGTTAGTAATTTTAGCAACACTGAAGTCATTATCACTACAATGCAGCTATCAAAGCCTAGGCCTTCCTCTGAACTTGTTTTCCAAAAAGAATTTACAGTTAACCCTTTGACGGGCAGTGGGACACCAAGCATCCCACCTTTTTTATCAGTTTTTCTCTCCCAGATGAAAGCTGCAAAATTTCATTTAAAACACATACAATTATGCCTTTCAGTTCTCTAAATGTATAACAGATGGTAGCACTAATATTCTTTCATAGAAATAATGTAAAATAAAAGTTCTTTGCAGATCTAATTTTGAAGCAGTTTATTAATTATTAACTTTTGATGTTAGAATGAATATTTTTATGTGAAAGTTTCCTTTTCTAAAAACATTATTAAATAAATTCATATATATTAATTAAGAATAGTTGATATTAAAAGGTGGGATTAAATATGTTCCACCGCACATGTAGGAATTGCTGCTACAAGATGGCAGCACCGTTGAAAAATTTTTAAATTCAAGTATCATGTTCATTTTATATGTTGATAATGCAAATTTATATTTTTTAATAAATTGCAATAACGTTAAAATTTAATAAATATTTAGTAGTTTTACCGAAAGAAATGAAAATATAACTCTGTAAAATGAAATGTCATTGAATACTGAATGGATATTAAGTGCGATTCACCATAGAAAAATATCCTAAGCAGAGAAAAGGGAGTGAATATAAATCGTGACGACCTTCTAAATATCTTCCTTTTCAAATCTGTAGCAAATAAAGTACTGAAGCGAAAATCTTCTCTGTCTCAAATCTATTATGAAATTAAAAAATATCTAAAAAGTCGTACAGAGAGTGATTTTTTTTTTTTAAATTATGTAATTAAAGTTTTTTTTTTTTTTTCAATTTTACGAATATAATCAATATTTTCTAGATACTATTCAAAAACGCTTTTTATATCTTGCATTTTCATTTGGTTGCTAAAGCTAGCACTTTAGATAAGCATGTTAGGAGAATTTACACTGTGGCAAAGATGCCATTTTACTGCTCTAGGTGCGCTGTGGGACAAGCGGTATCCCACCATGTCATGAATTACTTTAAAAGTTTACCTTTTTTTTTTTTTTTTTTTTTTTTTTTTTTTTTTTTTTTTTTTTTTTTTTTTTTTTTTTTGTTGCATGAAACAACATTGTATTAGGGGTTAGTTATCTATGTGTAAAGCTATTTTTCAAAAAAAAAAAAAAAAAAAAATTATGCACCAAACCTCAAAGAGTTAAACATTTTAAATGTTCGAAATTAATTCATTTAGCAAATATGACCAGCAAATTTCATGCAATGAATTTTATTTTATTCAATGATATCACTTTCTTCACATAATTCATTATTATATCTATGTCGTTACAAGTCTCAATGTTCCCAGCATCACAGACTTTTCTTAAAGCTTTCCTTCCAAAACAGTTACATGAATTTTTTATACCTTAGTCAAATCCTTTTTCAATGCCATATGTAACTATAGGTCTTTAATATACTTTTCAAAGCAGTAATAACACAGCAAAAGATTTCTTAAGTTCTGTATCAGTATTATTTTCTAAGTTTATTTCTAAGCTTAAATACATAGCATTATTCACTATTTCCTGTTTCAAGGTATTCAAGATTTACTGGTTCTTTTGTAACCAGCACAAATATGATTTTGTTTTCATTGATATTTAAGTGTCTCTTATCTGCTGCTTTGTGCAAGTCTATTTATCTGCTGCTTCCCTGTATCCATGGGCTAATGTACCAACATCAGCAAAAATTCCAGTTATCTTTATGAAAATAATTCCTCTAGTATTAATTCCAGAATCTCAGACCACTTATTCTAATGCCAAATTAAACAAAAGAAAAGAAGCAAAGGCAGTTAGTTGTCTAACACCATCTTTAACTTGAAAATATTAGATCTGGTTTCCAGAAAAGTGCTTGACGTGAGAAATACTATGAATACATATACAGACAACTATAATAAGAACTGACTTCAGAATGAACCTAACACTCTAAAAAAGCCTAATTAACAAAATAAGGCCTTTATTGTAAGGTTTCTTTCATAAATATTTTTATAACAAAACTGAGCAAGTAAAATTTTTAAATAAGTGTAATAAAAGTACAGTATAAAGTCCGTAATCCGGACTCATCAGAACTTTGGCGATTCCGAATGAGGGGATTTTCCAGATTATAGATCATCATTTTAAATCTGGTAAGATGGCATGCAGAAATTATACAATTAAAATATGAAACCATAATTTATGAAATAAAGAGCAATTATGATCTAAAGGGTATCAAAATTTACAAAAAAAAAAAAAAAAAAAAGGCTTAACATTTATTTGTTTACTTTATTAAACATTTCTTTCAATGTTAAGTTGTTTAGGTTGCTTTGTTTTTTGTGCTAATACTTTCTCTTTAATTCTATAAACAGACATAATTTCTTGTTGAGTTACAAAATTCCACTGTTCAAGTTCCATAATTGTTGTGTTGATAATACCAACTAACTTGTCAAAAATGTTTTCGTTTTCAATAATTTCTCTGTCACTTTCTTCACTATCGGAAGCGCGCATGGGTAAACGCTTTACGTGCATGCGTAAGTTTGTGACTTTGAGGTCAGGATTATAGATCATTCCGGATAATGGACTTTGTACTGTATATGCATTTAATGGAAATAATTTGATGAAAACACGAAAGAAAAGAAAACAAAATTTTTCTATAATAGCAGTTAATGCTTACCAAGAGAAGCTCTTTATTTCTTATATTGTTTCCTTGATGATCAAGAATATGAATTACTCCCAGATGTGTGCCTAGAGCAAGAAACTGAAGGGGAAAAAAAGAAAACAAAATGTTCAGATTTTTAAAGTATGCCCAAAGGGGCTTCTTTTTAATGTTTTGTGTGTTACCTTTATTTATTAAATATTCTTCGCACTTAAACCATAAAATCCAATTCAACAGCAATTTCACAAAATAATTTAAAAAAGAGCATATCTTTGATACACAGTCTTATGCACTGGAGATAACTGATTTAAAATCAACTTTAAAGAGAATTTTTTGTGGTGTCTGTGCGTACGTACATACGTATCTCGCATAACTAAAAAACGAGTAGCCTCAGAAAGTTGAAATTTTGGAATGTAGGACTGCTATAACATGAAAATGTGCACCTTGTATTTTGGCCGCACCAAAAGTATATAAATACATGCATATATACATATATATATATATATACACTTCGTTACTCGGTTCTGTGAGCTCCGATTCTTTATTCTTATATGTTTGTAAATTGTGCATTTTTTGCTTTAAAAGTGATTGAATTGTGTTGTTCTTATTTTCCGCTTAAGGTTTTTATTCTTTTAGGAAATCTGCAAGCAATATTTGTAGAATTATGAAGAATTTAAAAGTTAAGTGCGGCTAAGCCTAATTTTTTATTACCATGGCAGCCATGTTTGTTTACATTTGAAACAGCAGAATAATGGATTTGTTGCCAATGTAGAGAAACTAAGCTTTGCAACAACAAAGATAATGCTTCATTTATTATTGCGAATTAAATCATTCTTAATCCATTTGGAATTTATTCGAGAAATAAGTGAAGATTTATAATTTTTAATATAGATATTTTGAGTTTTTATGTAATTTTGCCTTGTCGCAAAGGGAGAACTCGATTAATTGAATGAGAAATACTGAATCGTTTGTGAAAAACTGCTTCTTTTCTCTCTCTTTTTGTTTTTGTTTATTTAATTTCTTTTATATATCATTTTAGATTTATTACAGTATTCGAATAGAACATGTGCCAACTATTAGATAATTCTTCAGATGATATAAATTTTTTGCATTCTGAATTATAAAATGAATGAAATCTAATGCTGTTAAGTGAACATAGTGCATATAATTTAATATTCCGTACAAGGAAGTCACGTGATGTACACATCAGACTTTTTTATCACAATACGAGAAATATACATACATTTATGCAGATTTTTCGTTATTTAATTTCTTTAAATATAACATAAGGCAATATTATTTTGTGGCAACAATTTGAAAAGTGATACAGCCTTTCAAAGTTTTCAATACAGAATGCCTACACGAAATTAATAGTCCTTGCCCTTTGGGCTAAAAATACACATCATTATAATATGTTGTGATAAAAACAGCATTATATAAATAAGAAATTTTTAAAAAACCATAAAAATTTATCAAATCAATATAGCTAATTATTTAATGCAAAACATTGAAAATATATGAAATTAGCACAATTTCAAAGTAATGGCATCCTTCGTAATATATTTGTATGACAAATTAAAGAAAGAAAGAAAATGGAATAATTTAAATAATTAAATCATTGAAAATACATAATTTTCCTTCAGACCTTTGTATGGACAGCAATGCAACTAGCTGCATCTTTTTTTAGAATATTAGGTACATCATTTGTCAGGCGTTCATAGCACAATTTGGGTTCAATTTCCTGCGAAATAAAAATAAAGAACCATATTGGGCAAAATATATACTTGAACAAAATATTTCATAATGTAATACATATAATTGATAAATATTTTAAGTGAAATCTAACAGAGGAACATGAAGCTTATGATCAAAGCAATTTTCAATTTCATACAAAAAGAAATTGTTTTAACATAATGAAGAGAGAATTTCACTTTTGCACTTTATAAGCCTCATTTTAAACAACAGCCTTCCAATAGAATTAAATCTAATTTCCATATTTTTCAGTCAACTAATTTAAAGCACAATGGAAAATACACTGCTTGATATTGAAAATACAACACCAAGAAGGAGTGGTCAGAAAGTAATGAAATTTGGAAAAAAGAGACAGCAAGCAGCAAATAAGTGATCTTTATTTCAAAAAGAAAGTCAGAATACAGAGCGAGAACGGCGTCGGCTCAGTAGGATGTAGGACCACCGCGGACAGCGATGCACAAAGAAACACGACTAGGCATTGAGTCAATAAGAGTGCAGATGGTGTCCTGAGGGATGACTCTCCCTTCTCTTTCAACCATTTGCCACAGTTCGTCTTCTGAACGAGGCAGGGGCAGAGTCTGCAAACGGCATCCAATCACATCCCACACATGTTCGATTGCTGACAGGTCAGGAGAGTACGGTGGCCAGGGAAGCACTGTATACCTTGCAGAGTATGTTGGCAGATGCGAGCACTGTGTGGTCGGGTGTTATCCTGCTGAAAAATTGCATTAGGCGGCCCTTGAAAGTAGGGGACGTGGAATCGTAGGCAATAGCACCCCAAACCATTATGCCACGCTATCGCACGGTGGGGCGTTCCATAGTTACTGCCGGATTAGATCTGTCTCCACGTCGACGCCACACATATCCCAACCTAAAATTTAAAACTATGCAAAAAAGCAATTTCAGATTGATATAGATTTTATATAAAACTTTACCTATTTCAAGAATATAGACCGTTCTTCCAAAAAAAAAAAAAATTAACCAAAAATTTCTTTACATAAATAAATAGCTGTACACAAATATCAGTACCATGAAATTTAAGCTTAACTTCATGATTTTCATATTTGCATACTGTACAATATTTATTTATATAAAGAAATATTTAGTTAAAATTTTTTTTTTACCTGGAAATTTTGAAACAAATTTAAATCTGTGATAATTTTATATTAAATTTTAAAAAATGTTAAAAATTTAACAGCATGCAAAATAATTTACAAATGAAATTATTTACAGCATATAAACCTCAGTATGCTAATCAGATTAAATATGATCTGATTATTGCAAATTTGTGAACATTCTTTTATAATAAATAAATTTAAAGCTAAATTATCCATAAGAAATATAATTAAAAAGCACAATTTTATTGCCAAAGAAAAAAAGAATAAGACAGCATGTATGAGAAGATAAGCCAAGTTGGAAACAATATTCTCAAACAGAACTATAACTGAATAACTAAACACATTCTATCTGACCATATTTCCGGAAGACAAACACAGAACACATGGATGGTACAAACAGGGGTTAATCATGGGAAAAATAAATTAAAGAAATTGACATAAAATTAGCTTACTATTGGCACACTTAAAGCGAGCTATATTTGGCCAAGGTTTTATGGTGAATCTTTACATTATGGTAACTTGGCAATTTTTTTGGTGAAAATTTGGCGACCAACCCTGCTACAGCAACCTGCTAGTTTTGTTTTGGACGCCATTTTGTTTTCCCGAAGTAAAGGCATTTTTTTTTTTTTACTCAACATTTTTTCCAACAATCTGCTAGCCAAATTACGCTTATACTAGAACTTTTATGGAACAAAAATGCTTAATCATGACAAAGATTAGGTGTGAAATTAAGAGAAAGTGATGAATCGCAAATTGCTTGCCGTGTTTTTAAGAATTGCACATACACGGTATTCATGTACATGTCGACCTATTTTCACTTAAAAAAATTATCCCAGAATCGCACAAAAATGGTATTGCGCACACTCTTGACTTTATCTATGTACACATCGATCTAATTTTCACTTAAAATGTCAAAGAGCAAATTGACAAAAATCCAATTCTTCTTACTCTTGTAAAAAGCACCAAACAAATAAGTGGACGATTCTGCACTTAAACAGCAAAATTGTTTCTAAGTGCTTAATAGCTAAAATCACAATCGGAATTTTCCGGAAAATGTCACATTACATGTCTCATGATCTCTCATTTCTCTGAGACAAAATAATCTGTGATTCGAACTATGTACTTCTCAGATTATTGCCAGTAACCTTTATCGCCTTACCAAAATGTCACCAAACTACCTGTTACCATTTTCTAAAGATTAGCTGGTTTTACCATAATTTCTCTGATAGTGTTACTTTATACAACAATTGAATCTTTCTACATCTTATCATAAAACTTCACAAACTAATGACAGATTTTTGGATACTCTTCAGTTATCAGAACCAGATTCAGAAATGGATGTATGAATGCATGTGTGCACTTAAAGTATGTGCATATATTGTGTGTGTGCATATATATATAAACATATATACATATGTACATATACACATTGCATACATGAACAAATACATTTCTGAATCCAGTTTTGATAACAGAAGAGTATTATTTTTTGTAAACATAATTTAGCATAGCTTTCATTGTCTCAATTCCTAACCTAATATTAATCATACACTCCGACTCTATAGCTATCTTAGAATTCATAATATTGAAAAGTAATGAACAGTAATTTATGATTGCCTAAGTGCATTTTTTTTTATTATATATGGGATAAGGGATCATTTTTATCAAAGCAATGGGATGGCCAAGAACTCTTGAGAAATCAGCATACATGGTCTGCCTATTTACATAGCATTTTCATATAAAGTAAATATTTTAGAAAAAGAAAATACTACTAATAATATATGTTAACATAAAAAAGAAATAGCATGAATTCTTTAGAAGCAAAGCCTGTTAATTAAACAAATATGTGACCAAAGTAGTGGTTCTCAGCACTTTTTGTTCCATGCATCCCTTTCACCATACCAGATGATCACTCTACCTTTCCAAAACTCAAAATTTTAACTTTAAATTTGCTTTTTTACGTATATACATGTTTGTTAAAATTTAAATTTGTTTAAATATACATATATTTAGATTTATTTTTTAATCTGTTTTACAAATTAAACAATAAAAGTATAGAAAATGTTGATAAAAACTAAACTTGGAATAAAAGCAGTTTTTTTTTATATATATATATATTCATAATCTAAAAGTAAATCCTTAACAGGTAAATAAAAGGCTGACTGCACTCTTCCTGAGACTATGCGATTCTGCTTATTTGACACCCTTTCGAACTAAAATCTTTATTATTGTCATAATTATTGAAGTCTTAACACAAAGAATAATCATATGAGTCACTGAAGTTAACCAGTATGATTTCTGCATGATGTTTCTTCTCATTTCAGTTAGTTGACAAATTTAAAAAATGTGTTTCTTATTTAGCAGATTTGGGGAGTGAAGATAACAGAATAGGACTGTGAAATCTTTTGGTATAAATCCATAAAATTTTATTTTTTGAAAATAGAATGTAACAAGATTCAAACACCAAAATCTTACAGAACAAATAATTCACATATGCAATGATGTTACACTTGAAATGTTTACATTTAAGCTAAATAATTGATACATATCATCAGTCTTTGAAATTTGTTGCTTCCACACTTTTAAAAACATTTCTCCAAATTATTTTAATAACGTTAAAGCTTCTGCAATGAAAATCGTATGAAATAGCAACTGGATGTTAAGATATATAAATTAATAACAGTACCTCCTCAGTATCATCAGAACTGTGTTCCTCAAAGTCATTATCCTAAAACAAATTAAAAAAATATTAGCTTGTGTTTAACAGGGAAAAAATATGGTGTAACAAAAATACAGTTATACAGAATATTACGCAAAAATACCATAACAAAGAATGATGAACTCCCATCTTTACTAAATTGCAGCATACATAATATACAAAATAAATAACTCGATAATTATAAAAGCTGATTTGGTCATATTTAACTTGGAGCAAAAACACATTATGTGATAGCTTTGTGTGCTCTATACAAATAATACAAACTTCACTTGCTCTACTGACATATAGTATCTATCTGTTATATATATCCCCGCATAAATACAGGCACAATTAATTATTAAATATAAAAAAATATATATTATTTCACACAAAAAAATTAACACCAGATAATTCACCGAAAAGAAAATATTCTGAAATAACGAGAATTTTACATAATTCCTCAAGCAAATTTATTGTGCATACTATTTTCTCTTACCATGTATGAATAAACTTCCTTTAGAAACAATAATGTGGCCACATAACGATTATACAGCTTATTTATTTCAGACACAAATTTTACTACACCGAAGAAATTATCTTCTAAATAAAAATTCTATACTAATTTTTTAAGAATGTAAAAGGTTAAAATGATACAACTGCCAAAACACAATCAATAAATTTAAAAGAAAATTATCCTGGATTTTAAAACTATACTTCGCTGACCACTTTAGCATAAACAAATGATTTAATTACATAATTCAATCATTTTATTAAATCTTCAGTTGTTTAATTTATTTCAAAACATTACCATCAGGTATTAAATTCAGTGTAACAGAACTGACCAACAATGATTTCATACCAACTTCAAGAAATCTTCCATGTTTTGATATTAATCTATTAATGCATAAATTTATGTTACCTCATTAAATTCAGCATTCCGCTCCTCTTCCACAGCCTCCATTACTGTTGCCAAAGCCAAATGATACCACCCCCCTTCTGTTTACATTACTATTCAGAAGCTTCTATACGCTCAGTCTATCAATGATTATCATTTTTCACACTGACATTTTAATAACTATGTATGGAATAAAAATTATTATAAATAACACTTTTATCAACTTTTGGTTATCCTTTAAATAATTGAATAGCGGTTAACATGAAATAACGTTTGTTTCTTTTAGTACTCTCTCGTTTGAGCGGATGTATACATTGGAAATATAACGGGGGCTATTTCCTAAATTTTCATTTGTCATATTATTTTAAAAGCTTTATGTAACACCTTTCCATTTATTGATGATTAATGAAGTAATTATCAATGTAAAAAACTCTGAGTGCATGGTTGAATTTCAAATATATTAATTATAATGCTATATGTTTCAAAAATTAATGTAATCGTAATTTTTTCAGTTTTTACATCGACCCCCTAACTGGACATCATCCCAACAAAGGTCCAAGTAACGCTACTCGAAAGAAAATTAGTTTATTTCTTTAACATTACTGTGTGAATAGCATTGCAAATCAATCATAAGGATCTGTGGCAAAAAAAAAGGAATGTTAAGTTCAACTCCTTCTAGTCAACAGAACACGCGTGGTTGTGTTTGACTATAAGATATTATCATAATTTATAGTGCGGTGGGCATGGACTGCGTCAAGTAAGCATTTAGCCCTGAATACCTGCCAGAGGAAAAATCGAAGTGCATCATTTGATCAAAAATTGCATTTTCTCATTCGTCTTCAACAGAATAATGTAAGCATCCGTTTTCTTTATTTAAAATTTAGTAACTGATCTAATTGTTACCTTATCATAATTTATATTTCATAACTTGAATTGTGCTTTTGAGATACCATATAGTATACAAAGGTGTTAAGGCCGGCTGTCTGCTGATAGGTTGATTTGTACTAAGACGGTCGGTAGGAGATAACATTATTGTAATTAGTGATGCAGTGCATCGAAATAATCTCATGTCATTATAAGCAAAGTGATAGATTAGTACTTCATTCCTCATATTGCGGTATGATGGTTCTGACATGTGCTCCGTGTTTCCGTTATTTGCATAATTTATTGTTTTGTGTACATGCGAGTCACAAATAAACTTATTTGCATATTCAAATTGAAATAAACAGAAAGATACAATTTGTAACCGCCAATTTTTACATCTCTTTGAGAAATATCCCGTTTTATTTGCTGATTGCAAAGGATTAAAAACAATATTTTTGAAAAACATCGTTTTTTTTTAAACATTGTCTTTTATAGCTCATAGCATTATTTATTCATTTTATGTGTGATAAATGCGATATGTTTCTAATGGAAATAAACAGAATTTATTAATGGTGTTTGTTCATTTTTATGAAATTTTAGAAGAAAATTGCGAATGAGTGAAATTAATCTTATATTCAAACTGCTGTATTTATAAATGACCTTACGGTAGTACTTATAATGGCTATAATTATTGTTTTTAAGACTTTGGATAAAACGTTTTTTTAATAACCACATTGCAGATCATTTCAACATTTTATTTTTTTATATAATTACAAATTTATAAGATTTGAACCATTATAGTTCATTCATTGTACATCGATTTTTTTTTTAAAAATTTAATTAGTCAAGGAGCTTTATAATTTGATGTAATTTTTAAATTTATATTCCAGTATAATAATGTTTTCTGAAATTTTTAAATGCAAATTAAAACGAAAATTGTCATTCATTAAAAGGTCTAGAATTATATTTAATTTTAAATAATGAGAATGTTCTTTTTAAAATTATTTAATGATTTATTTTAAAGAATTTCTTAGTTTGAAAGATTTTAGCATTCTGTATGCAGTTAATGAAAAAAGTCTCAGCTGTTTACCATGCCATGAAAACAAATTTTCCTGAATTAATTATGGATTTCTGAAACCTCATTAAATCTAAAACATTTTCTGACTTTCCTGAATCAATTATGCTTCTGAACATAATTTTATGTTTTGGGGGAGGGAATAAAAGCATATAATTTAGCGTAAAGCTATTATTTGTCCTTTGAAAAGAGTAGCTATAAGAATTTAAAATGTTAAAACTAAAACTCTGGAAGATAAAAATAGTTTATTGCGAATGTTGCTTCAAAATATTTTGGGACTAAAAAGTATTTTCATTAATACAAAAAATAAATAAAAGGATTAAAAATTTATAAAGAAAAAAAAAAACGTGTAGTGCATGTGTGACTGTAAAGTTTAATTTGCCTTTTGTTAAATTTCTAGATGTTACATAATTTTGAAGTTGGAAAAGATAGATGTACTCTTTAATAGTAAATCAAAGTATTAAAGATATATTTTCATATTTACTATTTGCCTTTTGGTTAAATTTCTAGATGTTACATAATTTTGAAGTTGGAAAAGATAGATGTACTCTTTAATAGTAAATCAAAGTATTAAAGATATATTTTCATATTTACTATTTTCTGGAAAACTGCTAAATTTTACTTAATTGTCAGAGGAGGAGAGGTATAAATAGTATGCACTAATATTTATACCACTCCTGCTGTTACATTGAAACTATAAGATGTACTAATAAACTAAACTGATGACACTGATAATACTGATGCCCTTTTTAGTATATTAGTAAGGTAAAATCTTAGTATACAATATGGCCATGGCACGATTTTGAAAATTGTCTCTTAACACCAAAATGACTTGTTAACTGCTTATCATAATGTCACCAAATCTTGTGTGTACCATGTGCTAGCATTAAAACATTAGTAAAAAAAATCAGTATTATATATATTATTATTTTTAATATATTTACATTACAGTAAACCCTTGTTAACATTAAATCCCAGTGAACCAGAAAAAAATCTTTGGGAACTCAGATTTTATTTTTAGAACATTTTTTCTACACGTTAACCATTTTTAGTATATAGTAACATAAATATTATAATATATTATGTGTGTCATCATTGAAAAAACAGCAATACTACATTAATTACTGTACTGTAACTTGAAACAATTACTCACAGATAATTTTTTTGTGAAAAATTTCTGCATATCCTGCTGTCATAGATAAGAACAAAATGCCTGAAAAGTCGCTTGTGACTTTCCAGGCATTTCCAAGACCTCTTCATAACTCCAATAATGCCTTGATATAAAGGCTGAAGATGAATTGTTGCATGTGTGGGGAGGGAATGAACCTTTACATTGGTTATGGTCAGATTATGTACGCTGTGGGGTGCAAAACTGTCCGGTATCATAAGAACATGCCTATTCTAAGCCACCATTTGATTATTAAAACAAAGAAGCCACTGTCGAAATGATGAGCTCTCATTCGTTCCTACTGTAGACATTGCATGAGCCATACTTTTATCTCAGTCAAATTCATGCATTCTTCTTTATCAACTTTGTTTCACCACAAATCAAAAACTGGAAGTTTGAAAATTAACTTAGTTTATTGATATTGTTCTTATCTTAAGTTTTAATTAACTATTGCAGCTAAAACAATCAATTGTATCACATTTATAGAATTGCAGTCTTGTGCAAATTATTACGGATTTCTGAAAAAGTTTCTTTCTACCCATTTGAATTATTAAACAAATTCAGTAAAATAATATAAAAAGCATTAATCTAAGACTAAAACAAATATACATAACTTATAGTAACAAAAACGGATTGAAAGGAGTTAAACATATTAAATTTATTATACTAGTAAACTATTGTTAACTGCAAAATAAAAATCAACCTTTCTGAAATTTAAAAAAAAAAAAAAAAAAAAACTTAGAATTAATTTAAATGTAAGCTGTTTAAAACATGTTACAGATTTAATTCATTTCAAAATTTGTTTGCCGAAACAAAATGCAGATGAAAAAAACTAGTAAATTACCATGACCACGTTAAAGAAAAGAACCCAAAATAATTTGCACAAGATTGTGTATTTTGTAACATTATGGCTTTACATATGCTGCAAATATAAAATATATTATCAATCTGAATAAACATGTTTACTTCATTTGGATATTTTTTTGTTATAGGACAACACACACTAATCAATTTTTTATAGAAAAGAATATGCACCAGCTTGAATAAAAAAGTTCAGTAGTATTAGTTATACTTTGTTTGATTCTTGTTATTTGAAAATAGATTGATGTGTACATGGACAAATTTAAGGCATAGTTTGTGCAATTCTGTGCCTAGTTTGTGCAATTCTGTGTTGTTTTTTTAAGTGAAAATAGATCGATGTGTACATGGACACAGAGTTTGTGCAATTCTTTGACTTTATATTTTGGTTTTGTGTAGCGGCCATCTTGAAATTGTGCCTTCCTGGCGCCAAAAAAGAATCGTCAAAAGCAAAAGGCACCCAATTGTAAACTTTTACCGCAACGGCTATGTAGTAAAGAAAATCTAGTTGTTCAAAAGCAAACAATTATAAATAATAGTACTGCCCCTCCATAAAAAACTTCTGTATGCATATGGTTTTAAAATATTATTATTCATAATAGTTTAAACAATTATTCAATTTAATTGTGCTTTTTAAAAGTAAATTCTATCCTATCAGTGGTCAGATAGTTAAGAATTCTACATGCTGGAAATTTGATCCAAGTTCGAAACTTGGTGAATGGGTTGATTGCATGGATGGTTTGGGGATTCCATTTATGTAATATAAATATGAGGCAGCTTCCCTTAGAAAATCCTCCATGAGACCATTCTTCTCCTTGGGCAGACATCCCATGTGTATTTTCTTGTATTCAATTAAATAATTAAAAGAGCTTGAATAAATTCTTTATTGCATATGCTTCAAACTCATAATTGCATGTAAGGGCCCACCAGCGGCCGAGCGGTAAAGTCGCTGAACACTGGTAGTTTGGTCCGAGGTTCGAATCCCGCGAACGGGCTGGCTGCATGGCCGTTTTCGTGGTTTTCCCCATGTGTGACGTGTATACGAGCCAGTTTCCCTTAGAAAGTCCTCCACGAAGGCATCCCTCCTCTTAGGCAGATAGCCCTCGAGGCTTTGCCATACTCTCTCACACACACACATAATTGCATGTACAGTACAAAGTCCGTAATCCGGAATTGTCGGGACTTTGGCGATTCCGGATTATAGATCATCAATTTCAATCTTGTAAGATGGCATGCAGAAATTATACAATTAAAAATATGAAACCGTAATTTATGAAATAAAGAACAATTATGATCTAAAGGGTATCAAAATTTATACAAAAGCAGCTTAATATTTATTTGTTTACTTTATTAAACACTTCTTTCAATGTAAGTTGTTTAAGTTGCTTCATTTTTTGTGCTAATACTTTCTCTTTAATTCTATAAAAGACATAATTTCTTGTTCAGTTACAAAGTTCCACAAGTCCTGTAGTTGCTGTGTCAAGAATACTAACTTGCCAATCGAATTTTTTTTTGTTTTCAATAACCTCTCTGTCACTTTCCTCACTATCGGAAGTGGTATTTTCTGGATCTAGAACTATACTACAGATTTCACCGTCCATTAATTGATTGATGATTAGGGCATTGCCATCGCAATGAAAAATTTCTGTTATATCATCTTCATTTTTTACCACTTCACCACATTTCTTTACAAAATCCAATAACTGGAAAATTTCACCTTTAGTTTGCGATGTCCGAAAACCTTCAAATTTTTGGCTATCATCTTCAACATCCTCACCATGAAATGTGGTAGCTGGCCATAAATTATGCCAAGCATTTTTTAACGTAGCTGGAGACACATCCTCCCAACCCACATGCGCATGCGTAAACCATACAAAAAAAGTGTGG